AATTTTCTCCTCTAACTTCAAAATCCTACTGGAAATTCATCATTCTAAGTTTGTGTGTTGTATGTGTAGAACAGTTTATCTTTTGTTTTTGTTTGTTTTTGAGAGAGAGTCTTGCTCTGTCACCCAGGCTGGACTGCAATGGCATGATCTTGGCTCACTGCAACTTCTGCCTCCTGAGTTCAATCAACTCCCCTGTCTCAGCCTCCCAAGTAGCTGGGATTATAGGCGCATGTCACCACACCTGGTGAATTTTTGTTTTTTCAGTAGAGACAGGATTTCACCACGTTAGTCAGGCTGGTCTTGAACTCCTGATCTCAGATGATCCGCCCACCTTGGCTTCCCAAAGTGCTGGGATTACAGGCATGAGCCACTGTGTCCAGTCTGGTTTATCTTTTAATTCAAAAATACAGAAATGTTACCCTTGACCTCCAAACCAATGATCTGCTGACAATCTTAATAACAACTCCCATTCTAAAATCCTGGATTGGCAAGAAGGCTTATTTTGATTTGGAATTACTGAGAAATCTGTTCGGTTCTGAGCCATTGCAACTGACGTTACATCCATGCCCATTGGCTGCATGGTCTTGTTACGGCCTGCAATTGCTTATAGTGTTATTTACGGTCTTGATTTCACAGCAAAATTAAAGTGACTCTTCCAGATGTTTGGGTTTTTAGACGCCATGTAAATGGGCTTCTAAGTTGGAAAGTTTTGATTATGTTTAGTTCTCTCCTCCTTAACCACCTTCGTGGTCCGTCTTCTACTGGGGAATGCAGTAAAGCCCTCCCAGAGCATGAAATGGACTCAAGGCATTTGCAATGGAAGAAGAAAGGAAAAAAAAAAAAAATCACAGTAATTCCCTTGAAGATCCAAGGCTGAGTGAGAACTACATCAAAACAGGACAAGGTAGGCATTCCAAACCACAATTGCTCAGAAATGGAATAGCATTTTTATTTTTGCTGTTTCAGCCAAATCAATACTAAATCATCTCATGAACTTGCTCGTGAAACTTTTAAAAAATTACATATGGGTAAATACTGTTTTCTTATCACCTTTCTTCTCTTTCAAAGCAAATAAACACAAATAGGAGTGGGAAATAACTGTTTCAGGTCTGTGGTTGTGCATTCCGCAAGACCAATAAGAGGCATTTACCAGGTGCCAGATGCTCTGTGAGAAGATGAGGGTTCAGGATAAAAGTTGACTATAGTCTGAGAGGTGAAGCAGTAGTGTGGAATTGTAAAGTTCCTGAAGACAGTGCAAAAAACAGTGCAGGGAACTCCTCCTGAAGAAAGAAAAATAATGGCAGGTTGACTTGAAAATATTCGGATCCGCTTAGTGACCAGGGGCCCTGCAGAGTCTCTCAAAACTTCAGTTTCCTCATCTCTTGAATGTGGAGACAATGGTACCTTGAATGAAGTCGTGCGTATGAACTTAGGGGAGCATTAGGTATTGGCAGTAAGAGAAGTCTAAGAAGGATGGTCCTGTAACTTCAACATTCTAAGTGTGAGCAAAATACGATTTAGTCAACATGGAAATGAATACTTTGGCTCTAACCAAAAACTTCTGGGAAAGGGGTCACAGGCGATATCGTTCCTCTCTCTGCCTTTAAAGAAATCATCTAGGCATGGGCTTACTGGTCAGTCCATCAAAATTCATATAATGACAACCATGATAAAGTTGAATAATTGTGATCACGCCTGTTTGATCTTTGAAAACAGAATTATGTGTAATAAAACCCATTTATACTAGAGATCACTCCTTCATCTCAGTCATTCACAGAAATAAAAAGGAAAATGGACACTGTGTGGCATTCGATGTACCTACTTCTTCAAGGAAGAAATTGAACTGGATCCAAATTAGGGCACACTGGACACACTTAAGAACGCCATTGTTGACTGGAAGTGAGAGGGTCTGAGCGATAACCAGGAGGTTGTGCAAAGACATCAGAAAGTCACAAAGAGAGACACAGAGGGCCTCACGGTGCCATTTCTAAAGAACGACTTTGGTGAAAAGAATAGAGAGCATTACTAAGCAAAGTGTATTCTGAGTCTTAAACATAAAGTAGCAGAGGTGAGCACACCAGCAATGCTGGGCCCACCAAGAAAGTGTGCTCACCATAGGTGGGGAAGAAAAATGCATGGTCCTGAGAAGCCAGGTGTGGCAAACTGAAAGTCCTAGAGAGGCTGACACATATCCCTGCTTCTACATGAGAAGAAATGAATGGAGTAGAAGGAGGCAGAGAGGCAAGCTTTCCTCCTTGGTCTACACAGTCCCACACGGCCTACTCCCACAAAGCCCACATATACACCCAGAGCCAAGTGGTGTGCTCTGAGGATCTGCGGCAGGTGAAAATACTGCAAAGCCGAATCCACACACACCTTAATTCCACAACGCTATATGCATTGATAATTATGGCACCAACTGGTAACACTCTCTTATACGGACCCATGGCACGGGCACCACCAAAATAATGTTAGCTGGAGAACTCATATATAGTAGGCACATTAAAAGCCTTATCTTTAATCCTCATGCCATGCTTGAAAGATATCATGCATTCTCATTTTACAGATAAGGGGACTGAAGATTATGAAATTAAGTAATTTACCTAAAGTCACACATCCAGCAAGACCCCAAGCTGTGAGTCCCACCCGCTGCATGGACTGATGCTGCCTGTGACTTATTAAAGTAGGTAGGATGCAAGTTGTAGGGAGAGAAGGCCATTCTTTGAATGAGGGCCTCTGGAAACAAAAGAGATTTCCACAAACCAGACGGCAATTTGAAAAGAGATCAGCAGCACTGAAAAATCCTGCACATCTAACATTTCCCAGTGACCAGTCAGATCTCAAGCCTGCCTCAGTTACTTTGTAACTCAACTACTTGATTTTCTAGACTGGGGGTGGGGTGAGAAGAAGTGTGCCAAGATGTGTTATGGCTTTAATCTTTTCTCTAGGATACTGATTTTATTTGCAAATGTAAGTTTCAGGCAAAGTGTTCTTGGAGAATGCAGCCAAAGGGCAAAGCCCGCCTGGGGCATCAGCTCCTGCACGGAGACCCCACATGCAGTGGGTCTCACCGCAACCCAAGACATCCTTGGGGCAACCTCAAGGAGGCAAAGGGTGAGAGGGTTCAAGTAAACAGTTAGATGAGAAAGGGGAGAGAAGACAAGAAAACCTGTTGAGTCTTAAACTGTTCTAATTACTAACTACCTCGATTCTGCTCTTCCCGGGGGACCAACAGGCCCGACCCCACCCCTACACACCCAGGGCAGCAGGCAGATGTCAGTCTCTACTTTTTACGCTTTCAGAAAATCTGAAAATCCGTGTCAACTGTAGGTACCTGCTGCTACCGTCCTGGAAGAAAATGCTATGATCTCCTTTGGAGAACTGGCCTTAGTTTCTCTGTCTCCTTTAGTGTGCTTTAAGAGTGTGTGGGGAGTCTGTGAGTGTATACGTGTTTATATTTATGTATAGATGCATGTACAGATGTGCATATACATGAATACCTCCAGTGAGTGTCCTCTGAGAGCCCCCTCTGTGGAGATAAAGGATCTTCAGGGAAAGCCTGAGTGTGTGAAAACCTCCTTGGAGCCCCAGTTAGCAGTTTCTAATCTACAAGTCATTTGTGAGACACAAGGCAGGGACCCCGGGCTGCTGCAGAAGAATTTTAGGTATGAGCAATGAACTCACAAACCATCCTTCACACTGCTAAAACGCAAAAGAAAGAAGACGAAGAAAAAGTAAAAGAGAAAGAAAAGATGCCCACATGACTGTTTTAAATTTGCTGAAGGGCAGAACCGACCACAGCTTATTTCAACCATCTTTATTTTCAATACAATAAACACCTTTAAGACAAGTCCCCCGCCACTTAAAAGACGGCTCTCCACCAGAGGCGTTCTCGCTACCTTCGTGTTTTCTCAAGCACTTGTTCAAAAACACATTTAAGTGGAATGTTTTCGTTTCTGGCGATTGCATTAATGATGGGTTTGCAAACCCTGCAAGCCCACGAGGTCGGTTGGAGCTGGGGGCTGCAGACACCCGGCCCTGGCCCAGCGGCCGCTGTGGGTTGGCTTGGCCGGCGGGGGCTTGGCTCGGCCCCCTCTACGTAGCTCCTCGTTTGGCACCGCGTGCCTCGGCCGGGCCAAGGCTGTCGCATAGAAGTTGCAGCTCAGAAAGAAAAACACACAGCGGTCAACCGCGGTGACCCTCGCGCTCAGGAGCGCAGCATCCCTGCCACGAGGAAGAACCCAGAGGCCCCACAGAGCGGGGAGCCGCCGCCTCCCTCCAGCTCTGTCCTGAGAAAGGAAGAAAGCGCTTCTCTAATAACACTCCGGCCCGTGAAGAATCATCTGTAACATCATCTGCTTCTTCCTCGGCTCACTTAGGAGGGCCTCTGGGACGGTTAGACCCATTAGTGGGGCCCACGACTGGCAGCCCCTTCACCAGGCGAGAGGCCCGGGATCCGCGCGGCGCGCGAGCCCAAAGCGGCCGGGGAAATGCACACCAGGCCGGGTCCCCATGGGTGAGGTGGGCGCCCAGTCCCGGAGGGTCTGCCTTGGCCTTGGGACAGTCCGCGGGGCGGCGCCGGCGCTCCCAGACCTGGTTCCCCGCAGGCTCAGGCCCAGCAGTGAGTGGGGGACACCCGAGCGCACCCGCAGCTCCCACTTGTTCAAGGTCTGCAGGACCCCAGGATCCTCTCACAGCCGGGTCAGAGCCCCCGAGGCAGATGAGGTCCCAGCCAGGTGGAACCCGAGGAGCCCGTCGCAGTCGCGGCAGGATCCCGGCGGGCAGGGTCCCCAGAAGCCCATCCCGACCGGGTCCCAGGCGCGCACGCTGCGGTCCTACCTGCTCCAGCCCCGCAGGCGGGCGAAGGCTCCACTGCCCCCGGGGCCACCTGCTCCCCGTGCCCGGGCGCGTGGGCCTGGAGGGGGGCGCGGGGACCCGAACCCGGCGGGCGGCAAGAGGCGGCACCAATTAAGCGCCAGGTCCCGCGGGCCGGGGCTTACCGTGAGCGCCGAGAACTTCTGCGCGGGCACCAGCTGGAGCAGCACCGCGAGCAGCAGCAGCCAGCAGAGCTGGGGGAGCAGCATGGTGGCGGAGGTGGCGGGGGCGGGAGATCAGCCGCGCCCTGCGCCCTGGCACTGCTACCAGGAGAGCCCCGAGGGCGATCGCGGCCCGGCAGGCGCGTGGAGGGGCAGCTCCGCGATGCTCTCTCCACCGCTCCCGGCGGCCCTGCTGGAGCAGCTCCCCTGCAGGCACCCAGAGGTCCTCCGCGTCCTTTGCGTCCGCCCTCGGTCCTGTCAAATACCCTGGAGCTTCCCGGATCCTCCCCTCCCGCCCGCCTCCCTCCCTCTCCCTCTCCTCCCCCAGCCCCACCTCCCAGCGCCCGCTGCCGCGTGCCCGCTCCGGCCCAGAGGCCGCCCTGGCGCGGGTCTGCGGAGCGAGAGGTGGAGTGGGGGCTACCAGAGCTGCGCGGTGGCCTGTCGGGGCTGTCTCTGTGCTTCCTTCCCCGCGCGCACACTCACACACACGCATACCCAGACACACGCACGCACTCACGTCCACGCGCGCACCCTCGGGGGCCTTCCAAGCACAACCACGGGACGCACCGCGCCCTCCTCACGCCCCAGGGTCCAGGCCTGGTCCGCGCAGGATCAGCCCAGCGGGCCTTTTCATCCACAAGGGTTAACGCCAAGCTTTGGCCAGTCCCCAGACTCCGGGGTTCTCCTTGACCTCTGCCCTCCAAGGCCCCCTGGTCCGGCCCAGAGCATCGCCTCTCAGAGGTGCTGAAGGATCAGCTGCGCTCCAGCAAAGGCAGCTGGGAACATAAGTCCAGAAAAGGCTGCGCCGGGGGCAGCCCGCTTTTGGCATCTTTACATGGAGTTATCTATGGCAGGGATGGTGGAATTTAGGTCCTAAAGATCCTGGGTCTGACCTGGGCTGTAGCCTTGATCCTCTGCAAATGGGGGAGCAAGTGGTTGGGCGTCATTCACAGACACATGTGGCTGTTTTAAAACAGTTCTGTCAAAGCATTTCAGGTGTTTATGCGGGGAGCACAGGGCTTGTGGAGGCTGTAAACTCGCCCGTGGAGACTACGTTGGAAACCAAGAAAATTTTGCACACCCAGATTCTGGATAATATCCATTGCAGACAACATTGCTGAAATAGTTTAGCCTTGGCTTATAACTTTACAGGAAAAAGCCCTAATTCTGTCTCACACAGAAAGCCAGAAGAGTGAAGATTTGTTCAAGAACAATGAATCAATTGACTTGTCAGGGGCATCGGGAAAAGCACAAAACATAGAAAATCCAAATCTGAGGTTTCATCCGATGTCCAGTCCACTGCTTTGGCTATGAACTCTGGGGGAGGGGGCTGTATCAGCAAGTTCTGGGACTGGCTGCTAAGGCAAACGCAATGCTATTGCAACCTTTCCCACACAATGTTACCGGGAAAGTGATGTCCATCAAGCCACGGAAAGACGGGAAAGAAATGCATCTTTTCCTGAAGGAGGGCTACTCTCAGAATTCTCCTTCAAATTCCAAAGCCCAGGGAATCTATTAAGTACTTAAACACATTCCTCCTGGTTTAAGGACTTAGAAGGAAATTATAATAAAACTCTTCAGGGACTGCTCTTGCGTCGAGAAAAAACAGGTGAGCAGCGCAGCTGCAAATGATTAAGTAAATAGGAATCACTGTTAGGAAACTGCAGTGAAAATTAAAGTAAAGAGAAAATAAACACTACATACCACTAATTCTAAGATTATCCAAAGAATAAAATTTACACTCAAAGCTGACATACTTCCTTTAAGAAGCATTTGCTACTAAAGAATCTGTTTTTCACTTTCCACTTTATTGAGAGTTCTGCTCATCAGAACTCAAAAGTTTGAAAGCATGTTCATTTATCCACCGTCATCCACTGCAAGAATGGCAGACAAGAAGTAGACTTAATTATTCCCATTTTACAGACGAGGAACAAAAGTCAAAGGGGCCAGATGTCTTAGCCAGATCTCCTAAGCAACAAAATCAGAAACAGAATGCAGATGTTAAAACCTGCAATACTGGCAAATCCACTTCACTTCCTTCGGCAACATGGAGAACAGAAGAAAATCCTTGGCCCTTCGTGCCTTGTATTCAAGAATCTCAACACGTCTTTCATGCAGCAACTCCAGAATCCTCTGGGAACTCTAGGAAGATAAATGAAATGCATTTGTCCAAAACTCTGACAGATAAGGCAGGGTTGGAGCCTTCGAAACCCCTTTCGAATCTGGAGGAGCTCATGTGTCCTGAATGCCAAATTTTAGTTTCTTAAAATTCTAGAAATGGAGTTTGGAGAGATAATCAGTCTCCATTTTTATGGAGAAAAACAATATATTTATTTAAAACACTGGGAAATAGTTATGTCTGACTTTTATTTGTAAGTCTTCAAGAAAGTTATTACTGGCAGGAATGCCAGAGAGCTGTCATGTTAGAAAAGATAGAAAAGTAATTAACTTCGTTCAAAGTTAAGATAGGAAGTGATCAGCTCTATACTTTCCAAAGAGTTCCTATAGGATGCAGGAAGAAGTTCCCTTCTCTTGGAAATGTAGGGCTGTGTGTGTGTGTGTGTGTGTGTGTGTGTGTGTGTGTGTTTTAATTAAAAAGTGATGCAGGGCCCATTCTAAAATGTGGCTTATGCATTCAGAATTTAAATGCTTGTCACTGATGAAAGTTACAATAAAGAACAGCAAGAGAAACTAATTACCAAGGACTCCAGCTATTCTCACATTTCTAAACTAACTTTCCCTCTTAGGCCATTAGCAAAATGCTTTATCATGAGTATTGGCTTCCTTTTTATTTATTTTACTATGCTAAAACTGCAAAACGATTTTATTTTCACTATAGACATGATATAATTTAGTTATTATTTCTGGCTAATTCATGTTTAGCCAGAAAACTTCTGGTTGGCTATTTTCCCATCTCAATATGCAAAGCATAAATTTAGTCAAGTACCTCTTTGTTGATGCAGTGGCTTCCAGTAATCCCCTCTGCCATCACTGAGTATTATCTGGGACTGAACGTGGGTCACTGTTCATACTCTGAGAATCACCCCACATCATCAGTCACCTGCCAATCACTTGTTTTATTAATGTTTCCTCCTGGTTTCTACTTAATCATAGGAGCAGGAGTCTTCACTGTTCACTGGACTTTCTTTAGACTACCCCAGGCTGGACCCGAGAATCTCTAGTTCCCCAGGTTTCTGGAGTCTCTGTCCTCTTGTTGGCTTGTTCATTCTGATGGCTAGCATCTTCCTTTTAAATTGTTCCCTTCGACCCATGGAAAAATAATGCACGATCTCCACATCAATCCCAGGTTTTCTACCCAAGCTCCACAAATCTGTGAGCCATATAGAAAGGAAACCACATCGGTAGAATTGACAAAATCAGAAGAGAGCACCACCCAGGCTCACTGTCACTGCGGCTGCAGGATGAGGCCAGCATTGACACACCGTGTTGAAAAGTGGACAGTGGAGTTGTGTGTTTGATCCTTGGGCCTGACTCAATGGCTTTCTTCCTATTTTGATATATTTAAGTAACAGAGAATTTGGACTTTGTGCTCAACAAAATAATGTAAATAAGTTTCTTCTTCCTAAGATGCCTGAAGACAATTTTTATGATAATACTTTTCAGGAACTTTGTGGAACAGTTTTTAAAAATAATTTCAGCTTTTATTTTAGACTCGGGGGTATACGTGCAGGTCTGTGACATGGATATATTATGTGATGCTGAGATTTGGGGTATGAAAGACCCAGAGAGTGAGGGTAGTACCCAATAGGCAGCTTTTTCAACCCTTGTTCCCTGCCCCGCCTCTCTAGCAAGCCCTAATGTCTATTGTTCCATCTTTATCTCCATGTGTACCCAGTATCTCGTTCCTTATCTCAATGTGTACCCAGTGTCTAGCTCCCACTTATGAGTGAGAACATCCAGTATTTGCATGTCTGTTCCTGCACTAATTCGCTTAGGATTATGGCCTCCAGTTGCATCTGTGTTGCTGCAAAGGACGTGCTTCCATTCTTTTATGGCTGCATAGTATTCCGTGGTGTCTATGTACTACATTTTCCTTGTACAGTCCATTATTGATGGGCACCTAGGTTGATTCTGTGTCTTTGCAATTGTGACTAGTGATGCAATTAACACACAAGTGCATGTGTCTTTTTTGTTAGATGGTTTATTTTCCTTTGGATACATACCCAGTAATGGGATTGCTGGGTCGAATGGGAGTTCTATTTTTAGTTCTTCAAAAATCCCCAAACTTCTTCCCACCGTGGCTGAAATAATTTACATTCCCACCTACAGTGTATAAACATTCCATTTTCTCTGCTGCCTCAGCAGGATCTGTTGCTATTTGACTTTTTAATAGTAGCCATTCTGAGTGGTGGGAGATGGTATCTCACTGTGGTTTTGATTTGCATTTCTCTGATGATCAGTGATGCTGAGCATTTTTTAATATGTTTGTGGGCTTCTCGCATGTCTTCTTTTGAGAAGTGTCTGTTCATGTCCTTTGCCCACTTTTTAGTGAGGTTGTTCTTTAGCTTATTGAGTTGTTTCAGTGCCTTCAGATTCTGGACATTAGACCTTTGTCCGATGCATAGTTTGCAAATATTTTCTCCCATTCTGTGGGTTGTCTGTCCACTCTGTTGCTAGTTTCTTTTGCGTGCAGAAGCTCTTTAGTTTAATTAGGTCCCACCTGTCAATTTTTGGTTTTGTTGCAATTGCTTTTGAGGACTTAGTAATACATTCTATGCCAAGACTGATATCCAGGATGGTGTTTTCTATGTTTTCTCCTAGGATTTTTATAGTTCGAGGTCTTTCATTTAAATATTTAATCCATCTAGAGTTAATTTTTGTACATGGTGAAAGGTAGGGGTCCAGTTTTAATCTTCTACACATGGCTAGCCAGCTATTCCATCACGACTTATTGAATAGGGAATCCTTTCTCCATTGCTTATTTTTCTTGACTTTGTTGAAGATCAGATGGTTAAAGGTATATGGCTGTATTTTTGGGTCCTCTATTTTGTACCTTGGTCTATGTGTCTATTTTTGTGACAGTACCATACTGTTTGGGTTACTGTAGCCTTATAGTATACTTAGAAGTCAGGTAATATGATGTCTCCTTTATGGAAATTTTTAATAAATGGTTGGAATGTGATGGGTGTTTTACATACATTATCTAATTAACTTTCATGGAAACTCTACAAAATGGTTATTTTACAGATGAAAAATAAGATCCTGGGAGACTACAGAAACTACCTGGATTTACACAGCTAGGAAGTGGTAGGAG